GAAACGGGGCTTTTCGAAAAAAAAACGGCAGTTTAGATGGGGCATTTTCGACAGAAATGCCCCGGTTCGAAAGATCCTGTACTGCTCAAAAAATAGGCCAATAGGAGCTGAGAGATTGGCTTGGGCATGGGGACAAAGCAAGGCTCTTCCCCCTCCTGGCTTCATTTGCACTTTTGATACCTCTAATTTACATCCCCCTGCCGACAGAGCAGTGTAGTTTAGACGTACCCTTACAGCCTCATAAAAAATGAATTAATGGTTCTAATCTGTCCAGCCTAGCAACCAGCTCTTGCTCCTTGAAAGTTCTGGGCTTTCAGTTTCTGTTAGTCTGCTGAGACAAAGGCGGGAGAGGATTGTTTTTGTTCTGTGCTTATGTGGTGGGGAACCTGGACCAGGCCCGGCAAAGTTAGTTAAGACATTGTCTAAAGACAGACAATATATAGGAAAGGAGGAGGCAGCACAGAAGGGAATATTAGAGTGGACTGGAAAGGAAAAGGGAAGACATTCAGCATACACAGCTTCCTGTATTTCCCTGCACTGTTGCTACAGAAAATCGATCATGGCTTCTGAGCAGGAGAGAGACATGGGAATATTTTGAAAAAATCCGTTCTCTGGGTGAACAAGCCAAACGTTTCAAGTGTAAGTAGAGCAAGAAGAAGATGCAGGGCCTACCCTCAAGAATGAATCCTAAGGAAAACTGATTCTTGGGAGGAAAATGATGTGGATATTAGGGATGTGACTGGTTAACCAGTATGCTTCACCCTTAGCAGGTGAGCCTTACCAGTTAAGGCAGGGCTGGGCAAAATACGGTCTGGGGGGCTGGATCCGGCCTGCGAAGCCACAGGATCCACCCTGCCGGGACTCTCAGGCACACCGCTGCTGTGGGTTTAAAGTGCAGTCCTGTGGCTCTCTACTCTGGAGGAGACGGAGGCTTCGTGTAATCTCCCTACCCCAACCCAGTCTTCAGCTCCTATTGGCCAGAAACAACCAGCCAATAGGAGCTGAGAAATTGGCGTGGCCATGGGGGCAAAGCAAGCCTCTTCCCCCTCCCGGAACAGAATGGCCTGCAGCTCTAAGTGATCTGGGGCTGCAGCAGGCAGGGAGCCCCACCCCCCTTGGGGGTGCTGGTCAGGAGATGCTTAGATATACGCCTCCCAGCCAGAGTCTGCCTCCGGCACCTCAACCCCTCCTGCATCTCAACTCCCTCCCCCTGGTCACCATCCAAACCCTCTGCACCCCCCAACGCCAGGTCACAACTCCCTTTACCCTCTCCTACACCTCTCCCCCAAGCCAGAGTCCTCTCCTGCACCCAAACACCCTCCCAGACCCTGCACTCCAAACCCTGACCAGGTCACAACCCCCCTCCCTCCACCCAAACTCCCCCTCGGACCTCACACCATCTCCTGCGTCCCAAGTCCCTTACAGCATGCGCTCTTCTGTATCCAGCTGCCATCCTAGATCCCACATTCCCTCCACAGAAAAGTGCGGCCCTAGACCACTTTCCAAATCTTGGAGTGCCCTGCCCCCCACTAAAAATTATTGCCCACCTCTGGATTAAAGTTAATTGGTGGGGGCTGGAGGAGCTCCCCACCTGCTGTGGGCAGAGGGATGCTCCAGCTTCTGTCTGCGGCAGGCCAGGGCCCCTGCCCCCTCCCCCCGTTAATCAGTTAACTGGTTAAACGATATGTTTAACTGGTTAACCAATGAAATGGGATTTTACTTCCCCAGTGGATGTGTCTGAAGAACAGTGAGGATCAACTTTGCAATGCATCCTTCTTCAAGACTTTCTATGTCTTTGAGTAGAAGTGGGATTTAACCAGTAAATTCACCAAGCTGTTTGCTATGTTGGCTGTTACTAGAAAAAAAAAAAAGTTGGCTTATTTAATTAGTTAACTAGGTTTAGAATCTATTACCCAAGTATACGGCACAGAAAGCTGCAGTAAGAGAAATCTAGAGTTGCCAGTTGCCACCGAGTGTCATTTTCTTATTTTATATTATACTAGGAGGCTACACCCCCTGCTCGCTATGCTCCCCGCCGCCCCCCACCACCACCACCACCACGGGAGTAGGCAGCCACAGCTCTCCCCCCAACCGCTGGGGAGGGACAGGCTGAGGGGGGGCACCGAGGCCGGCCCAGCCCCAGTTCTTTCAACCACCGGGGAGGGCCGAGGCTTTGCCTGGTCCTGTGTTCTCCCTCCAGCTGCCAGAGAGAGTGGGGGGCTGGGCTGAGACCTCACTAGCCCCGGCTCTCTTCTTCTGTTTGCCGTGGCACGGGGGCGAGGCCATATATGGCGGGGCGGGAGGACAAGGCTATATATACCTAAAGTATATCACTTGGGTATTGTAAAACGCTGTACTGAGCTGTAAATTGCCATGTTTAGTGATCAGATTTGCACTGTTGTTAAGAAATATGTGAAGAAGTATCAGTGGGAAACTTGATTTAAATCAGTCCACCCTGGGAGAGAGAATAGCTGGGACTACCTGTCCCTCAACAGTCAGCAACCCATCACTATTGTGGGATGAGAGCATTTTGTCTGATAGCTCATGTAATTTGTCCTGAAGCTGAAGTAAGCGCAATGAGTGATAAAGATTCATGGTTCAGATCTTTGCTCGTGATGGTGCAGGTTGATATGGCTCTACATAATTTTTTTAACCTTTTTCCTAGGAAATTATATATTAAAAGCTACACTAAAAGATTATTATTGAAGTTGCGAAGTGAAGCGCATGAAATTTTGAAAATGCCAGATTAAAATTTGCTGGTACATGGGTAACTCAGGTAGAAAGTGATGACAATGTACTATTACACAGTCTTTAACTGCATGATCACACACTTTTTCCGCCAAAGGGTCCTGCCATTTCCAGTGCATTTGTTAGATGACTAAGGGGATAGAAATAACTTGTCCAAATGTAATTAATGTGGTCAATGTTAAATCTAGCGTTTCCTAGCTTTTGAGTATTTAACTTTGCAACCTAAACAGTGTTTATAATGGGATTATTATAAGTATTATGCTGAGATTATTTAAGATTAAGGTGTATAAAATGTCCTCGAAATAGTATAATTTGGGACATTTGAAACCTAAACCATTGGTCTAGATTCTTATCTTGATTTATGCCATCCTAAAACTAGATTAACTACTGATGTCAGTGGACAGTAAAACCAATGGAGTTACTTGAGGTTTACACGAGTGTTACTCAGAGTCTGGCACTGTCTTTGCCAAAGTTAGTGAAACTAGCAAAGTTAGCAAAACCGGTTTTTGTGAAGGCTTTGTAGAATATTCTATGGAAATTAAAATTACTCAGAATTCGCAGTATTTTTGATTACCAGGAATATCCATAAATATTCCTACCTGACTATATGGAAGGTGGTGTAAATATTGATACTGTTTTTCTTCTGATTGGCAGGGTTGAAAATGTTTTTTATTTCCATGAAAAATGCAGACCAATATTTTCCCTCTCATATTTGGGGTGGAGATGGAATTTTCCCCTGGGACAGATTGGCAGAGCCTCTGTGTTTTGTTTTTTGTCTTCCTCTGCAGTATGGCACATAGCTCGCTTGTGGGTGTAAATGGTAGATTCTCTGTCACTTTAAATCTTTAACCCATAATTTGAGGACTTGAATAACTCAGCCACAGGTTAGGGGCCTATTTCAGGATGGGTGGGTGATGTTCTGTGGCCTGCAACATGCAGGAGATCAGACTAGATGATCAGGATGGTCCCATTTGACCTTAAATTCTGTAAGTCTGTAAGTGACAGCACAGGGAGAGAGAATTGTATTGCAGCTCCACACAGTGATTCCTATGGGAAGTGGGCCTATATTTGATTAATGCCGCACAATATGAAGTTTCTGTGCCATTGCTGGGAAGCAACCGGATTGTGTGTGGGCGGGGATGTTAGATATCATATAACTGAACAGTCCTGTAACTGCATGAAATCTTAGTGGTTACACCACTATTCGATGGTCCCTGGGGGCGGGGCCTGCAGCCAGTGCGCTCCCGGCCCCACTCCCAGGGCGCCCCCGACACCCCGTGCTGCTGCCTCTCTAGCAGAAGCTGCATTGCGTGGTGGCAGGCGGGAGCCAGTTTAAAAACCGGCTTCCCGCACAAACAGGCTCTGCCTGCCGCCCTGTGCTGTTGCCTGTCCATGGGGGGGGTGGGGGGGGCCTGAACTCCAGTTAATTGGGTAGTCGTCTACATGCTGACATCCTGTGCGTGTGAGACAGAGAGAAACTGATTGATCTCACTGCACGCTGCTAATCATTTTTCTTTTATGTATCTAGCATGGTAGAATATTCTATGGAATTAGTCCTCGCTAGCCCCAGCTCTCATTCAATGTTAAGCAGGCATCATTCAAAGTTAAGCTGACATTCTATTTATTGTATATACTAGGGACGACACTGGTGCTATGCAAAACTCAGAAGCTGTGCCCAAATGGCGTGTCTTGTCAAAAATAAGGCCCAGAGAGGACAGGATGCACTGGCTGATTTAGAGGGGAAACGTCTTGGATTTTTCATTTAATGCTGCTGTTATCGACTCAGTTCTGCTAAGAACCATAGATGAACATCTAGTTGTTGGGAGGTACTGGCACGAGGGCAAGGCGAGCGGCTTGGCCGATGGGATTGGGAGGGCGTTCGGCCTGGGGAAATGTGGAAAAGACTCTAAGATGGGAGGAGAAGGAGCTAGCAGGTCATAAGGTAGCAGAGCAGAGGGGTTCAAAGGTCCATTTCAGAATGTAGAACTTGGACGGTTAGGACAAGAAATTTCAAACACGATGTGGCAGACAAAGGGGAGTCTTTGAGCGCTTTAAAGAGAGAAGCTGTATTGTCAGATCATTGGCCAAAGCAAATAGTCTTAGCAGCTGTATTTTGGATATATAGGCAATGGGTCACTCAGCAGGTAATTGGCAGAACCCGAAATAGAATTCTAAACACTCAGAAAACTTAGAAAGACAACACAGATGACTCGGCGGATGCTAATCGAGCTCCCATCTGTTCCCTGATGCAGGTGCAAGTTCTTCAGCCTCACAGAAACGCCAGAGGACTACACGATCATTGTGGACGAAGAGGGGTTTCTAGGTAAGTTGTGCAGCGCCCGCTGCTTTGTACGCCGAGCGGAGAGTGAAGCAGGGTGTGTAGATCAGTCGGTAAATGGGAGTGTTTGTACAGCGGTTCTGTTTGTAAATACCAGACACACAGTGACTGAAGAGGCTTTGATCGGTTAAGCAGCTTGCCTCCCTGCTCCGCTGCAAAAGACATGTCACATACGGAATGTGAATAATTTTTAGTGCAAGTTGCCAATTTAAAAAAAAAAAAAAAGGAATATGAGGGTTTTTTTGTGGGGGTGGGTAGACGGGGAGAAACAAAAAAACAACCATCTGCACGGGGGCGGGGGACTTCTGGAAATGCACAGACCCAGAGCACCCCCTCACGATGTGACATGGCATTTTGGCAACTCTGCCCCACTCTGCTACTCGGTTCTTTACAGGGGTGTGCGCAAGGGTGGAGCGAGCAGAGGCCACGGGCCCTTCCTCAATCAGTGGACACGCACCGCGAGGTCGACAGCCGCCATGAGCCCCGGGACAAGGTGTGGGGGGCAGCTCTGTGCCCCCAGAAGGGGCGGGGCCTCAGGCAGAAGGGGCGGAGTTGGGGCTTAATGGGTGGTGCTTACCAGGTAACCAGTTAAGCTGTTACCCGTTCACATCCCTAGTTCCCACCCCTTCAGGTGTATCTGTCCCCCAAACAATGTCTGACCAAACAGTTTTAATCAGCACGGTGTCTTCTGCCCTTCCTCAGCCTCACTCTCTTTCTAGTGTACTGGCTCATAGTAGGGATGTTAAATATCAGTTAATTGAATACTCGAGTAACGTCATGTATTCTTATCGGTTAGTCGACTATTCCATAGTCCCCGGAGCCGGGACCAGCAGGCAATGCACTCCAGCCTCACCCCTGGAGAGTCCCCTACAGCCTCTGTATCAGACAGCAGCGCAAAGTGCCAGGCGGGAGCTGGTCTGTGAGGGGAGCCAGTTTAAAACCCAGCTCCCCTCATGGACCGGCTGTCTGTCAGCTTGTGCTGCTGCCTCTGATAAAGAGGCAGCAGCGTGAGGTGGCAGCAGCCCTTGTCTAGGGGGGATCTGGGCTCCTCGACCCGACACAAGTCAGAACTGAGCCGAGCTGCCTGCCTGCCTGGCTCCTTTAAAGTCAGAGCCACGGCGAAGGTAAGTCCTGGACCCAGCATGAGCTAGGACTGAGCCGGGCAGCTGGTCAGCCTGCTAAAAATTTACTGGCAAGGGAGGGTGGAGGGAAATGCGTGTAGTCTATAGCATTAACCTGTAAGCTTTTGCTTACTGGCTAATCGGTTAATCGACTACACTATCACATCCCTAGCTCATAGGGCTCCACACTGGAGTCCCTCAGCAAATCTCCAACACCAAACGAAAATGCCAGCTAAGGAAATTCTGTTCCCCGCCCCCCAGGCTCAAGCCTTTTTGGTGTCTCCACAGAGAGTGTTTTGAGGTGAGTCCCCCGAGCTTAGGTCAACAGTCAAGCTACAGCCTTTGTGCTATTGAAAATAGCTGTGTAGACATGGCCCTGAAGTGGTTTGGGGCCCGAGCTGCAACGTCTAAGCACTTGCGTACACGCCTGTTTTGAAGGCGCTGATATCTGCCCTGCTAGCCCAGGGCTGCCAACCTGGGCTGGGAGGCTCATCCAGTTTGCTTCAAAATGCTCCATGGATGTGCCCCGGGTGCCTGTCAACTTCCCCCTCCACGTGGTTTCTCTCAGGTTCTCCCCCCGAGAGAGAGCGCCACCCCTGTCTCTTTCCTCCCAGCTGCACTGACTGGATTGCTTCCTTCAAATTCCTGCCTGAGCCTAACGTACCCTGTCAGTGTAAGGAAGCGGCGCTCGTACGCAGAGCCAGCCCAAGGGGGTTGGGCGCCGTAGGCAAACTGACTTGGGCTCAATATAGAGAAATTTTCATCTTACAAGCCCTTGTGAGTCTCCTCTTGCAGTCTTGTGAAAACCTCCCACCAATTTTTCAAAGTCCAACACAATACAAATTCTTTGCACCGCGTCTTCAGGATCGCGGCTTGTCATGGCAGAACAGCAGTTGAAGGTTGCCGACCGGCCTTCAGCCAATGGCGAGCAAACACTGACTCAGCTGTATGACTAGGTGACCGAGAGTGACTGCCCTGCCAGGCGGCAAACCCAGGCGGGGCTCTTTTGAAGGTACGCCGTGATACCGGGGAGCTGGATTTACAGTCGCAGCCGTGTTCCACGATGGGAGATTAATAATAGAATCGGCTTCTGAGAGGGCATTGATGCTCTGCTGGCCGAGTGCCGTATCTGATATGTTTGTTTTTAGGAGACAACATGTTAATATTTGTTTTTTAAGGAGAGAAAAAAATTCACTTCCCCCTCACTTGGCGCCCCTCAAAACCTGGTGCCCTCGGCAGTTATATGGTTGGGCCGGCTCTGCTCGTACAGCTCTCAAACTCGAGTTAACCCTCTTTGATTATTGTGGGGTTTATACGTGACATTGCAGCCAGCCACAGTTAAAAATGCAGCCCTGAGGTAAGCGGGTTCTGGGGTGCGGCCGCTAAAGCCTATGCGTGCTGTGGCTTTGCCTGGCTGGAGGGGTGGGGAGGGGAAGAAACGGCTGTGTGTGCTGCCATTCCCCCTCTCCTGCCCCCTGGCTGGAGCTGTGTGTGTTGCCACCGGCTGCACTCGCTTGTAGACTCCACCTCCACCACTTCCATTGGCTGGGAACTGCAGCCAATGGGAGCGACGGGGGGGGGGAGAGTACCTGCTAACATAGGGCCGCATGGAGCCACCTGTATAGCCCTCCTTCCTGGGAGCTGCACCAGGTAAGCACCTGAATCTCCTACTTCCTCCCTGCCCCCTCCCACAGCCTATCTTCCTCCTTAAACCCTGCACCCTACTTCACCCAGGCCCTGCATCCCCACCCCACTTCTGAACCCTACCATCCTCCCATAGCCTGCAATCCCAGCTCCAGCCCTCTTCTGAACCCTCCTGCCCAGACCCTGCGCCCTCAGCACTACCACTTCCTGCACCCAGACCCCCCCCATCACCATCCTAAGTTCACTTCTGCACTAAGGATGTTAAGACGCAGATAACTGAGTAATTGTGTAGTCGATACAAATTGCATCGACTACACGATCAGCCAGTATGGGAAGGTGCTCAAAAGGAGCTACCCTCGCCGCGGCTCTGCAGTTTAAATGTAGTAAGAGCCAGGTGTGCAGGCAGCCTGGATCCTACTACATTTAAACTGCTGAGCCACAGCAGGGGTAGTTCCTGGACCCAGCACAAGCAGGGACCGAGCCGGGCTTCGGCGCCGGGGGGGGGGGGGAGCAGCTCCCCCACAGAGACAGTACTGGGGGGAGCCCAGCACTGGCTCCTGTCCCCCCTCCCCAGCCACACACACACACTTGCTGCCTCTGATATAGAAGCAGCAAGGGGGAGGGGTGAATGTGAGTAGTCAACTCGACTACCCGATAAGCCTAGATTTATCGGGTAGTCGACTACTCTTACATCCCTATCTTGCACCCTGCTCCCTCCCAAACCCTGCACCTCCTCCCTGCTCCCCAGCAGCCTCCTCCAGCACACCGATCCCCCTCATTTCTGGCACCACCCCAGAGCTATGGGGGTCCAACAAAATCCACTAGCCCCAGGCCCCCAGAACAGTTAATCCGGCCTTGCTTAATGCTGCATGTTACCTACTGAGCTAGCGACAAGGAGCATAAGCTTTCATGGGCAAAGACCCACTTCCATCTTTGCCCACGAAAGCTTATGCTCCAATACATCTGCTAGTCTATAAGGTGCTACAGGACTCCTTGTTGCTTTTGCAGATCCAGACTAACATGGCTACCCCTCTGATACTGAGCTAGTTCATCAATTCTCCATGTGCATATCTGATCTTGCCCCTCCTTATTAACCTAGCCTGGCAACTAAAAAACATGCTCGAAGAAAAATATTACATAGCCAGCCCCTTTTTTCCCCCTAAATAAAGCCAAGAAACTCTTCACCCTGCAGTCATGATTTCAGCTTCTCTCTCTCCACCATCCATAACAGACACGCTCCCTCCTGCCAAGCAAAATGTGCTGCCTTCAGCTCTGACCCTGTGCAGTGGGCAAAAGTGGATGTTTTCTAACTGCTTGGGATGTTTCATCACCCATGTGTTGCCAAAAAGTGGGTTTGCGAGCTGCTTTAAGCATGCGGTATTGAACAGTTGTTTAATGGAGGGAATGGTTTGGCGGTGTACGTGGAAATAGCTTGCAGTGCTGTTTATCATGTTGCGATGTTTTTATTTGCTGCTGTTTTATTTAGGGGATGGAATGAGGAAGTGTAGCACTGCTATTAATATTTTTTCAACAGCTGCTGTTTGGGGTTGCAATTTAGAAACCCATTTTGCGAGTTTGGAGACAAATTCAGTCATGAAAGTGTGAAACGGGAATTTAATTAGCCACAAAACTTTAACTATGCAATTACTTCCAAAGCCACCATAATATTTAGTAGTTTTTGTGAGTGCTTATGACTTAAGTATCAAAGCATTAGGTGGAAAAATTAAAAGGCACGTCATTATTAGTGGTAAATGAATAATTTGTAACCAATGATTATTTCGGTGAATTATAGCCTTGTTACAAGAACAGATCATGGTTTTCCTGATTGTGTTAATCTGTTCGGAAGCGTAGGTTTAAATAATTTCATTAAGCATTCCTTGGCCTGTAAATTATCCACGAGGGATGTTGGCTTTGATGGAAGAGGCAGATCCCATGCTACAGTTCTGCTTCCTGATAGGAAGAATGTAACGCTCACGTTTGTGTCTCGGGAGCAAACGGATTCAAAACGTGTTTCCTATGAGTACTCTAAAGCAGGGATGGGAAATGATTTTTGATGAGACGGGCCACTCCAAGATTTTGGTAAGTGCTCAAGGGCTGCTCTTTTCTATGGAGGGGAGGTGCAGGGCTGGGTGCAGAAGGGAGCTTGGGGCACGGGCTTGGGGTGCAGAGTCCTGGAGGAGTGGGAGTGTGGGTCTGAGAGGGAGTTTGGGTGCAGGAGGG